AGATGATGGGCTCAGCTGGGTGAGGCCACAGATCATTTTTGGACACTAGAAGCAGATGTGGGTGTGCATTGCTTATATGTAGGTTCATCACACTTTGTCATGATCAGCACATCATCTCCTTCTCCCTACAATTAGTTTGGAGACGTAAGCGGATTATCTACATGTATTACACAGCTGAGCAAGTTTAAAACATTCAGCACCCTCAGTGGAGAATATTCAAGTAGTGGTGCTTTGCATTTTTATTTGCCTTAGTAAAGTAAGTGTGTTGGGTAGCTACATGCTAGGCCAGAGGGGCAACAAGGGACTGTGAGGGTAGCTTCATTGTTGAGCCCTTGAGGAGGATCTGGCCTGTAAGACTATTTGCAAGGTTTGTTTTTTAATTGCTCCACTTTTTTCTGCTCCACACTGGATGGATGGATAGATAGATAGATAGATAGATAGATAGATAGATAGATAGATAGATGGCAGGAGAGAAAGACAAAAGGGGTATATTAGCATTCAGAGGGTTGTAATATCCCTCGGCAATAGCACAGAAACCACAAGGGAAGATATAGCGCCATAATTTTTCCTCTTTTCTTTGTTCTCTTTTCCTTTTGTTCTTCTTTTTTTTTTTTTTAATACAGTAAGTGACACGTCTGCCTGGCTTAACATAAGGAACTCTGCCCTTGTTTTCCAGTGCAGAGCTGCTTTCATGTCAGCTACAAGAAGCTCGGCGGGGGATTTGGCCGGCTCTGCTTAATCATTGCCTCACATCATGCACTTCTTGGAACAGATATGCACACTTAGACTGACATGTTTATGATTCTCTGAATGAAACGTACAGATTACTGCAGAGATTTGAGTCTGTAAGCCACAGTATCCATAGAGGGGGCCCAGCATTTTCTTTTTTTTTTCTAGTAAGAGCTGGTGGCTTTGTGCCGACTTTCATGCTGTTCCGGGATGGGCGAGATCATCTGTAGTGGCTGCTCTGTTGAGACTGTTGTTGTCCCAGACAGCTAATCAACAAGTCATTCAGCCAGCTAAACAGCAATTCAGCTATCTAGCTAAGAAAACAGTCGACCGACCATCTCATTATCTACGACGCAGCTCTTCAAGCGAGGCAAACCAACCTGTTTTCCAAAAGGTGAACGATCAGGTCAGGGACGTCTTGTTAATGTCATACTTCTGCAAAATTTGTGTTACTTGACCATAAATGCAAAGATCTCGTTGTGTAACAGATGAGACAATTTCATATATGTACTGAATAGCAGTTAAAATCAAATACATGCTAACAAAATAAAATGTCAGTGGAGATTACTTCCACACTGTAGCACTGTTGATTATACCCCCTTCCTAGCACAACTCTACTAAAACACTCCTTTTATTCAGCCATAAATCGACTGACTGAAATGAATGTGGATTGCTGTGTTATCCATTTAACAATTGAAGGCAATCATGCTTTTATAGAATAATTGCTCATTCACCCTGGTTTAAGCAATTGATAAATTCAAGGTCCTTGATTTCATTTTGTGTCTTTATTGCGAAATAAAGACCCAGAGAGAGACCTGTGGGAAGCAGAGCTCTGACCCCACTCAAGTGTGATTGGTAAACAAACGTTACAGGCGAACCAGCAAATAAATAGGTATTATTCAGAGCATGTTGTTGCTGATCCGGCTCAATGGCACACTCGATAAACAGGCTGCCTATGGGTACGACAACCTACACCCCAGAGAACTTCCAGGTTTTGAATTCGTTCCAATTCAGCTTGAACTAAAGGTACATTTTCTAAAGTGTGTTGAGGTAGCACATTGATGGAAGCATCAATCAATGCCAGGCAGCAGTGCTTCTTGGGCCATTTGAACACAATGTTTGTCGATACAGTAGTGACTAGTAGCGTCTATATTGTCTCCCTCTCTTCTCAGTGACCTGAGGAGGGGGTAGTATGGAGCTGGTGGTATGTCTTGGGATCTGTGTCGCAATATCCCTGCACATTCTCTGCTCTTAACAATTAAAGTGATTCTAATTAAAAGTTTGATGGTAGTGGTAAGTTAATTATTATCTTCATTCAGACCCGATAGATGGGCTTAGAGCTTATGTACCACATGTCATGTCTGTTAGCTTAATGACTGGCAGCGTTTTCTGACAGTAATGCCATTGCAATCAAGGATTTGATGAGTCTCTGTGTCAAGGTTTTGCAAAAAAGACATATTTCAGGTTAAAGCTGTGGTGGAGTCCTTGCAATGAGCCCATGCTAAAAATAGCCTCAGTGGTCCAGCCAAGAAATACTGTTTCCCTCCCGTAAAAGAACCCTGGTTGCAACTTGCTCCGTCTCTTTCTTTGTTCTTCCTCTAAGACTGTGCAGGGTGCAGATATAAGGACAGGGATGGTGCTGATGGTGCAACATGCTGACATTTGCTTTCTCTCACTGTAAATATGATGCAAGGTGTACTTTGCAAGGATTAGTGTCTCCCTACAGTACATGTCAAATACACAGCGAGTAGATTGGACTAACCGTACCACAAGTTTGACCAGCGAGAGCAAAGGTGACAACATGTTTGAGGCTTGGTTTTGACCATCAGTTTCCCCAAGATACCTGCGGCCCATTGAAAATATGCACAGTCATGTTTCCAGAGGTTTCTAAAACATCTGACCTGCAGTACTGTTCTACACATTTGGTCTAATATTGACTTCATCTAAAATGAACATTAGTTGAGTACCTTGCTGTTTCTGAATGATCTCTCCCCCTCTTTTACACGCTGCTTGGTGTAATAGCCAGTATCCACAGAATGAAAGCATTTAACTCCAATCAATGGGATTTATGGCTGCTTTAAAAGGCAAAGGTGTCTTTTCTCTCTTGAAAGTGCTGTTTTGGCCGTCATCCAGCTCAGATCGGACCAATAGCTATGTATGATGAATTGTTATTATCTTGGCTGCCTGCTTAGGATTCACACTTCTCTCCAAGTTTGAAAGGGCTGCAATATCTTCCTGCATTAAGCAGTAGTGAAGCGGATTTTAGTAAAGATTTACCTGCCAACTATATGTCACGTCTTAGTCCACAAGGATGAAACCAGACAAACATAAACCAAACAAATGCAGCTAGAGCTAGGGATTTATTGGACAACTTGCACACATCCCATCCTTACTTTCCCAAGCATTTCTCCTTTGTGTACGCCTCTAGAAAAGTAATGTTCATGTTGCCATTACACTGAGTTTTTTCCCCCTTTTTCTACAGATTAGCTCACACAAGCATTATAAATTGGGAGCAAGTGTCAAGAAGCGAGTACTGTCTGGGTTAACAACAATTCTCTGTGGTCCTCCTGGTGTGTAGGAGAGAGAGAGGGAATATGCATCAACGTTAATGCCAAGAAGATGGAGAGAGTTGTTTTATCAACTTCAGCACTGTGTTTTTAGGCGTTTACTGCTGACTTTGACATTCTCGAGTGCATAGCTGTCAGTTAGTGATCTATTGTCTTGTCCTTTAGATCTAAGTCATTGGCAGTGAAAACTTATTTGATCAGATGGCCAGTGTTTCCTGTGGGACTGAATGTAGAAGGATGAAGGACATAATTCTAATTCTTTCTAAGTTCTTCTTTGTATCCAGTCAGAGGCAAAATTTCCATGTCCAATTATGTGTATGAATAGGAGAAAAACTCAACCTTGATTCTGAATGGGTTCGTAAATACCAAAAGTCAAGTCTTGTAAATTCATCAAATTGTAGTTTTGTCTGCTAAACTATGATGATACACTTAGAAAGTCGATACATGCATTCAAGTGTAAATGTTAACTGTAATGCTGTGGAAGGAAATGCAATGGAAAAATGTATGCGTACTCTTCAATCTTCAATGAAGGAAAGCGTTTGAATGCATTTATGATTTGATAATCTCCAAAAGAAGGAGTCTGACATGACTTATAAAATATGCTGCTTTTATGGACATTGTGGTCAGGCTTTTTTTTTTTTCTTTCATAAAACCAACATAACTAGTCATTTGAAATGAATGACAGGCAGTGTTCAGCACTAATGTGAACAATACAGCTCTGGAGGCAAGTAGCAACCTCTCATCCCACAAGACAGAAACACACTTGCAAAAATAAAAGTGGTCGACGCTTATTAAATCAGTTTTAACTTGTTCATAGATTTCAAATTGAAAGGTGAGCCCCAATGAATTTGAATCAAATCGGATGACGTGGCATACACTGGTTTGGGTTCTGACCATTAACCTTTTCCTCAGCTGACCCCAGTTCCTCTTGTCATGACCGGTGGGAATGAAAGGTGAAAGAAGGTTAAGACGGTTGGGTGACCCAGAGAGCTGCAGGAGGTGGGACGCTATTATTAGCTTCACATCACTCTGAGGCTCAATACCGTACTGTGTCCTCCTGTAACTGTGTTGTGTAGATGTTTGATGGAAAAATACACATAGCTGGGATATAGTCCAAGCTGGGATATGGGACTCCCGAATATGAGATTTCATTATTTGATAAGGAAAGATTGTACTTTTCCTGGCAAATGTATTTATTGTGCTCAGGAAGTAAATTGAAAATGGTATGCTTACAACCTACACCACAGTAAATGAACTCACAATTTACAATATGGTTAGTTCAGTTAGAATTTTTTATTTATTTATTTATTTATTTTTTACAGTGTTCTATTGGTATTATAAAATATATCATGATAGGGTTAAAAAAAACCTACATTTGCATTGATTGTATGGGTATACATTGGCAGGAAAAGAGAATACACTCCTCAAAGAAGGGCCACTAAAACTGGATCCAAGTGCCCACTTTATTATGACCCATGGTAATTTAGTTACTCTAATGTTTCAGACAATTTTATGCATGAGCTACACTCACTTTAAGTACAGCCTTTTTCATAGCATGAAATTGTTAATAGGTCAACAGTGGGGGGAAAAAAACCTTTCCTGTCTCTGTGTGTAATCTTCTTCCAAACTACTGTTTTTTTTCCTACAGTAAGTGCTGGAGTTCATTGAGGAATAAGTGAGCAGTAATGTATTACTGCATGCTACTTTTTTTTTTTTTTAAGTGACAGGAAGTGATTCAATTGATGGTGAATTATGTTTGCATTGAATGTGATGTGTTTTGTTCAAGAGGGTTCATTTGGAGCTCTGTGAAGAGATTTGCCCCACTGCTCAAGAATGCGCTATTGTTATTGATAGGAATGCTCATTCTGAATGAATCATTGTGAATCTGAAATGTAAAAGAAAAAAACCAACAATATTTTCATAACCACTTGCCATCATTACAGCTCATATCCTGTCAAACTAAAATTTTAGCTTGTATTAGAAAGTAAAATAGTGCTTAAAAACTGCGTCTTATTTTTTGGTGAATGTCAGGATTGATTTTGAAAAGGGAGTGGGGTCCGGTGCTGTCTATAGACTGCGCTTGGGAGCTCATTTGCCTAATCTTGGGAACTAGAGTGGAAGCTGTGTATAATGAGGACTAAGGCTTGTCTGGGATGGCGATGTGGGGTTGGGGCTGGGGGTGTGTTGGGGGGATGGAGGCGAGCCTGAAAGACATGAAGGTATTAATCGGACAAAGGGGCAACCGAGAAGTTTATGCAGAGGGAGGACGCCTGTGGAATGGTCAAGCATTTTTGCATTTTGACTGCCTTTGTGCTATTGCAAATCAAAAGAGGGGAGAGGGAAGGAGTGAGAGAAAGGACAGAATGCAGGGATGCTTTCAAGTTTTCCGGAGGGCTCCTCTTGAAAACATTTTGTCCATGTTAGAGCAGCAGGGACAGGCTGTGACGCTGCAGACCAAGCAATGTGCAAATTTTCATGAAGGATGAATCCTGTTTCCGCTTCATTGTACCTAAAAAGGAAGAAACAGTTAAAACTGCCATAATGATACAGAGCCTGGTTATTCTTTCCATGCTCAGCTGCAAACTTTCAGTAGTTACAACAAATGGATTTTTTTAATTCAGAGAAGATAAATACAAAATATTTAATTGCCAAGATCCATCCACAGATATGTGGTTAAGTTCAGTGGTTAAAGCGTCAAAGCTGCATGAGAGGATTTCATTACATGGTTTATACAATAATGTTTCAGCAATAATCTAATCTAATATAATAATCTTTCAGTTGCTAATCTATAATTAGACATTGCACTACTTGTTATGCAAGTTTTTGATGTTTTTCTAGGTCTTCAATCATCTTCTTTTTATCCAAAATGACTATCATTTCTTGAGCCTCCATTGTCCGGACAGGGATGCAAACACCAAGATATTTGTGCAGTTTTCCACGTTACAAGGGCGGGATACAAAGATTATAATCGTTGGGCAATGTACTGTAATCCTTTGCCATAACAACCTTAATGAGCTTTATTTTGATGCTGGTGGAGCGGAGCCTCCTAAATTGTCCATTTCTCATTTTAAACACAAGACTCGCACACATTCGATCAAATCTCCAGCATCAGGCTCAAGCTGTTTTGTTTCAGTGAGTTATGCAGGCTATTTGCCCGTGTGTACATCTGCCTGTGTATAATTAAACACCATTTCCCACTTAGGGATGTCTCAAGGGCCATAATAGCCTCCACAAACATACAAACACACAAATGCGCATTCTTGTGTGTATTGACATGTGCCCGACACTATCTACACCAAGACCACTGTCAACCTAATTTTGTAATGATACGGGCATTATCCAGTGTAATCTTGCAGTAAATTAATTACAACCCACAATCCCTCATTCCCCTGTGTGCTCCCCCAGGAGATGACCACATTTGCACTTTCAATCAAGCAGGCAGGATGTCAGTGACAACCACGACCATGGAAAACAGCCCTGAATTTTAAGACTTTGTCAGGTTACTGAGCATTTTAAAATCTTATATGATACCTTTGGCCATATAGTTGCATAGACTCAGTCTTGACTGGTCGTACTGTATAATAGGAACATCTACAAAGAATACAGAATAAAGGAGTCACAGGAAAAACCTCCAACCATACGACCTTGGTGAGGAAAAACCTGATCAAATATTCAGTTTGCGGTTCGTTTGCATAAAATCTGCCAAAGGTGTGAATGCATTACTGTGTAGCGTCCTGCTGCCAAGGTCAGTGTACATTTCAAAGTAGCCCACAACTTTCTGGAAATTAATTCACCCTCATAAATAACAATTAATGGCAGGCAAGTTTGACTTTGCTGTAATTAGTTCTAAATGATGCCCTTAGAAAATATAGACTGTTGTTTAAACATGACATTGGAAATCTTATTAAAGCTTAAGGGTGAAATTGGGTTTTAATTGATGTAAATGTAATCATTGTCAGTTTGTGTATTCATCAAAAGTTTGGATTGGAGGGTTTGAGGGAGAACCTGCATTGTCCTTCACTATTCAAAGGAACAACTTAGAATTAGGTTAAAAAGGATATTTTCTTTACCCTCTCAGGAAGGAAGGAATAAATCTGATACGTTCCTCAGATTTGTGTTAGTTCTGTACTCATGGTTTTGTGTTTGGTGATGCCTTAAGTCAGCAGTGCTAAAACGGGAGAAAGCATACAGTAATGTTTTTGTTACTCAGCGTCGGGGCATTGTAATGGCTATCTGCATGCACCAGGCTGACAGAAAGCCCTCCTCTGAGTCGGACAAGTAATCCAAGATTAAAATGTATATACACCCATTATCAAGAAAGAGCAAGAGAATAGGCCAGGCACCCTGAGCGCTGAGTACACACACAGTCACACACAGTGGGGACACAAGGTCACAGCACTGGGCTGGCAGAATGTGTTCAACGTATGCAGGCGCACACCCCAGCAGAGAGAACACACAGGAAAATTAATGCGCACGCACACTCCCTCTCAGAGATAAGCTGTGGCAGCACGTCGTCAGGGGAATTTGGCCATCCATATCATCAAAAAAAGACGGCTCCATTAAATTTTAAGCCCCTCAAGAGCTGCAGCTTATAGACTATGACATTATATGTGTAATTTCTGGTATTTATTTGCAGCTATCTCAAGCAAAGAATTGCAAAAAAAAAAAGAGAGAAAATGTTCCCTGTAACTTTTCAAGCACTCAAATAACTGACACCATTGCAAAAGAAAGATAACATAAGCAGAGCTTTAGCTACCTACATGGCACTCTCACTTTAGAGAGCTGCTTGCTTTGCATACAATAGCTGTCTGACAGTTTGGCTAAAAGGATCTCCAGAAATAATTGACACAAGGAACAGAGCCAGACGGGCTGAGTTTGACAAGTTTACCCAGGATATCACATTGTTAGTCAGGAACGCGTTATAAGAGAGAACACTGTGATCTCTCTGACTTCAGTTTTTCTCTTGATGAAAAGTTTTGCATGTCAGACCAGGCAGTAGTTTTTAGGAGGGAACTTCTGTGAAGGGGCCCTCTGAGTGACGAGGTGTTAATTCTCTGAAGTCTTCCTCACACTGAACAACCCAGATTCTTGTTGCTGGAGGGAAAGCATTTGTTCTCAAAAAAAAAAAAAAAAAATTAAAGCACTTCCAAAGAATTAAATAAGCCATGACAGATTTCTTTTACAGAGGAGCTCATCAACAATTGTAGTGCATTAGTCTTTTCAGTCAGTCTGACTTTGTAACAAGAGAGCTGATGTTTTGAAATAGCTGTATTCTGACCGAGAGACACATGGCTGCCCGGACACAGCCCTAGTGTTCTGCCGTGCCTGTACAGTCCCAGACACATTTTTGCAGATGTGGTTAATTACGTACTGCTTTGGACAATTAGTAAATGAGTCTGACAGTAACCTCCATGCATTAATCACAGTAAATTACACAGAGGAAGGCGCAGCACAGAGGTTCAATTAACCTTTTAGCCCTCGTCTGAATGTGGCGGATGGGGTTGGTTATTCAGCGAAGGCCCTAACACTCTCCCGGGTCACCGGGGAGAGAGAGGCGCCCGGTGCCGAACAGGACTTGTCAGAGACGCACAGTCGGTCCGTCCCTTCGCTCCCACCCTTCCCCAACACTGTCCTCACCAGGCCCAGTCCCCACCCTTGGGAATCACTGAGCTGTCTGGAAATCAAGGCGACCTTTGTGTCTTGTGGTTTTCTCACAGCTGCGGAGGCATTTATTTCCAAAAGAGTTGTGCCAGAATCCCCCTATTTATTTTGTTTAATTTAGCTGATGGTTGAAGCTGACCTTGCGATAACCACCAACACAACCTGGCAACTCTCTCCGGAGAATTTCGGAAGCCAGCGTCGGGGACTCGCAAGGCCAATCTAGACGGGTCTAAGACATCTTTAACTTGTGGTATTTGAAAATATGAAAGACTTTGCTGTCGTTGGTTTGGCTGGTTGAGTGTGTCCCAATAGCAAAGGTTTCAAATTATTCCGTGGATTCTTATACATAGTGAAAGCCGCAGAATACATGCTGCATTCGGTATGCCAGTTTGGTCAGAGACGTGGTCTTGCAATTGGTATATCTCTAGTTTGGTTCCCTGATGGCTGTGTGGCTTTGAAAATGAGTGACATTATTCCTTAACAGCCATCACCCCATTGCCCTGTAGAGCAATGCACTCATCCACTGGTTCAAGAACTGTCACTCTCTAAGAGTGGACGCCTCTCTTCCCCAACTGCTCTCCCGGCTGGTGTCTTTTAAATCACAGTGTTTTCCCAGTCTGTCTGCTTGGTTAACATTTACCTTTAATAACATATCACAAAGTTTTTATGCTACCCTGGGCAATACTGCATGTCTTGATATACTGCTCTCTTGCTTTCCCGCACTTTGTCAGGGAAGGAATGCAAACGCCGGGCATCAGACCAGAGACATAACTGTAGGATATCAAATTAGCACTTTGTGTTCCTACGCCCCCGTTCGGCATTCTTACAATATAGTACCTCTAGTCGTTGTTGTATTTACAACCTGCTCTGAGCAAAAGCAGAAGTGTTGAGAAAGACAAAGAGAGACAGAGGGAGACATACTTTCCTTTCTCTGTCTGCCATGAGAAACAGACAACAGATAGAGACAAATGAAGAGCCACAGACACAGGAGGCATACAGACAGATAAATGAGGAGGAAATACTCTCCGCTGCTGTTTAGTCAGTTCCCAGAGACAAGCTGGCACAGTGCTGCCTCTGTCCAGTCCAGTTTGTGCTTGTGTGTTGATGCTGATGTTTCAGGATTGATTTGCCTGCATTCAGCAGAGAGGCACCCCGCACACAAACAATGAAACAGGCATGCGGCCCTAACATGCTGCCCTCTTGTTTCCGAATGCCCAGTGCCCCTGTGAGAACCAGTGGTCACATGACCTGGCGAGTCATGAGCGAAGGGAAGGGGACTCTGTGGCTGCCCCCACCCCCCACCCCCTCTCCTTGTGGTCCCCCCCAAAATCCCTGCTCTCCTTGGCCCACAGTTCTCTCTCTCTCTCTCACACACACACACACATGCTAAACCACTTTGTGCTAATGCCTAACTGTTGTGCCAACACACATACAAGTCTAGTCAGGCACACACACACGCACACATCAACTCAACACATGCACTGAACCTACACACGTGCGCACACACACACACACACACACACACGCTCATGCATACACCTATATGTGTAAACACATATACACACTCCACCCATAACTCAGGGTGCACACTTCCATGCGCGGCCACCCACAGGCACAACAGGCGTGACCGACAATAAAACACAACCTCGGCCTTGCAGATGCCTAAAAGAACACGACCCTTTGTCATCCATACGGGGACCTTTTCCTCCGGGGGAGGAGCGCTATTCAAGGTCGAAACACGATTTTAGCCTTTAAACCTCTCTCCCAAAACATTAAAGGGCCTCACACAGACACACACACACACATACACATTAAGCCTTACTTCCCCTTCTTTTATCTTCCTTATGCCTTTCTATCTTCCACCCAAAAAAAATACTTAATAAGTCACGTCATCCTATAGTCTTTGTTTTTCCGAGAACATTTGCTTGAATTACATTTTCCTGGAAGAAGCATATTATTCTGCCGAAAGTATTATTTGATTTGATAACATTGTTGATAAAAACGCAAAGACACAACAGAAACAAGTAAAAATACTTTAACTCAGCACTAAAATATGCTTAAAGATTTACATTTTCTTTTTAGCGTTGTGGTCCGCAAAGATATGACTTGATTGATTGACTTGTTAAAACTGCACCTGGCAATTTCAAAGGTTCATGGTCTTCCAAATTTTCAACTTCAATCCCCAGATATCATGTAACATGATGTCATAGTACAGTACTTTTGCCAACCCAGCCAGTCTGCGATCGCTTTTACCAAACGACTGCTCCGTCACCGCTGTTAAGAAGATGGAAGATGCATAACACGACATCTTATTCAAGGAAGTCGACGCTCTGTTTTCTCAATCATGGCTCGGTGCGCTTTTTTTGTGCTGCGGCGTTATTTTATGGTTTGAGCTGATAAGTTGAGAGTTGAGAGTTAAAAAATGAATAAATAAAGTTGAACCAAGTGCAGCTTTTTAATGACCATTTTTTGCAGTGCACAACTAGCAGCCACCCCCCACCACTCTTGTTGCCGCTCCGCTGGAATTCCTCGCGGATCACTGCCCGCGCCCTCTTTATTCCCATTCTGTGCCTCCTCCGACACCTGGCCATTGCCCCCCCCCCGCTCCAGTCCTCTCTGCCCTCTCCCTGCTCTCCCCTCTAGTCCCTCATTAATCGGTCCTGATATTGATGGGAGCTGAATGCTGGCAAATGACTGCCTGTGAAGCCCCTTCATGCACCCGCTTCTCACCCTGCCTGCAACCACATACAGGCTTGATTAGCATGCCAACCGTTCACCACGCCTGTGAATCAGTCCCTCTGTGCTTCAGCTGGCTCGATCCTTCACTCTATCTATCTGTCTATCTGTTTATCTTCTTTTTTTTTTTCCCTCTCAGTTCCCATGTCTGCACTCGTTCTTTAGGTTTTCAAGACTCTCCTGGCAGCATTATTGTTTCACTTTTGTGCCTGTCTTCAGTGTTCCTCTCTGCCACCTGTTGATGCCTTTCTATCAGGCAGCTTTGTAAGGTCCCATTAAACAAGTTTTCCAAGTGAAAAGACGTGGGTGCATACACACATCCTGTCTCCTGCTTGTTCACACACAAATGGCATTTAAAACTCAACTCAAGATCCACAAAGTAACTTTCTCTGTAGACCCAAATCATCAAACATTATTGTTTGCAGTTTAAACGATAATATTTCCCTTCCTTGTTGAAGCTACATGATCCTTACAATCGGTACACGCTCTTGTCATTATTAAGTTTCTAATGAAAGGACTGAAAGTTTTAACAGTTAATTGATAATACAAGTAACACACCATTACGCACATGTACTTCACCATATAGATGAACATATATTTCATTGCATGGAGGCATTGACAACCTCTACTTTCAAAGGCCGTAGAAACAGATTTTCTGTACATTCCCTTTTATCTGTCATGGCTGTGGAAAAAAATATCCCCTCAGTAATGTGTGGTCATTTCCAAAGAACGAGACTGCATGTTTTTTGAGTTCAACTGTTATGGAATAACTTTATGAAGTAAGGCGCTTTCAGATACAATTTGTTGCTGGTGACCAAGAGCAAAACAAGTCAGTCAGATGAGGTTTAATAAACTGTCTCTGCTTTAGGAAAAGAATAGAGCCAGTGTTGGGATTTTTTTTTTTTCTTTTTGGTTCGAACTGCAGACTGAGATTTGATTTTAGTTTTAACACTGCAGCCAAAACAAAACCAGAAGGGACAACCTCAGTTTTAGCTCTTGCTGTTGACTGCAATGCAGCCCAGATGGCATTGTTTAGAAAGGGAATCAAACTTTTCGGAGGCTTTTCTACCTGGATGGTGAAACAGCACCGTCTGTGACCGTGTAGCTCAAAAGGTTTATCTCCGTCCTGATAACCAGCTTCCTTTATTACTCCCTCCCTGCTCCTACAAGCACAACGTTATGTTGACTTTTTTTTTGGGGGGGGGGGTGGAGTCATCCTTTCCTGTTAATGATCACACCTCGGCAACCTGCTGACCAGTTACCATAGCAGCAAGCAGCTGCAGCAAAGCTTTGCTTCTTTGATTTTGATCCACGCCAGGCAAATCACTCAAACAGACAAATATTCTTCGTTCCCTCCCTCCCTCTCTGGAGAAGCACTATCTGCTGCTATTACTCTCCTCCAGCTCTGTTTGGATGTCTTCCTCCTGTGCTCACCTGTCAGATGTGGCCCCCTTGGTGCTGAAATATGCCTTTTGTCTTTTTCCCTCGTTGGAATGAAACCATAAAGTCACTCACAGACAGAAGTTTGCTGTCCCTTTTACGGCCGCTCGCTTGAAAGCAATCCGTCTTTGATCTGTGTCAGGAGTAAACACAGTGATAAGAGTTAAACCCAAGGTCGAACAGACGCTGAAAACACTTATGCGTTTTAGCTGTTCGGAAGATAAGGGAAACAAAGTGCTCTGTCAGGCTAAGTGGCTGTAATGGCTACAAAACAAACAGAGCGAGGGCTCGCTGCTTCAGAGCAAAGAAGGACTTTTGCATTCCACAGAGAAACACAAAGCATCTCTGGACTTAACTTGAGCCAGACACCGTTTGTTTACCTTGCAGGTTGTAAGGCAAACATTTATCTGAGTTTACGGGAGAAGGGCTAAGTCTGGTCTACACCTTCCTGTTCCCGACATAATGCCCCATGACAGATAGGCTGAGGCAACTTGTTGTGCATCTTACTGCACATGACAGCATCCCAACAACAGGGGGAAATTCATACTTGCAGCCAAGAATCTTTAGTTTGGTCAGAGCTGGCCTTTGTTGTGCAAGATTACATTTTGATTTCAAGAACAAACAGGGTTAGCCAAGAATTCCTCAGTTTTTATTGTTCCTGTCATTCACTTACCTCCCAATGTCTCTTACTATTTCTTTATCCATGTTGACCTCACATTTAGACAAATACTAAAGTACCCTTGAGAAACACACTGAATCCCATTACCACTTTTTTGATTGCTGCCTCTGATCCCAAACAAGTGCACCCCCACCCCCACCCCCCACCCCGCCCATATGACTTATTCTTAAAGACACAGAGTACAGTTTTGCTGCTGCCCTATCCATGAAATATTGAGGAGTCTGCTTGTAAAGGTGTTATGATTTTGTTAAACAAAGTACTCAAGTTAATTATTATAATTCTAATGATTCATAAAATTTACCAGTGTTCTCATGCACCCGGTAATTTAACCCACTGTCACTTTTATATAAAATGGTAAATGAGCTCATTTTGTCCATGGAGACTTTAAATTTCTTTAAAAATACACTTTGAAAAATTTTATTTGCTCTGTCCGGTGCTGATTGGAGATGAAGGGAACACCCTATAGCGCTGTGAGGACAGACAGGTCATGGAAATTAGTGTTTTTTTGTTTTTTTCCTCACATAAACAGACTCTGGCACAGGCAGTGCAGTCCTGTTTTGTTTAAGTCTCTTCTATCTTTTCTCTCCCTCTTGCTTTTTCTCTTCCTACTCTCATTTGGTTTCTGTCTTCCACTCGTTCTCAGTTGACCACCATGAAACCATTAGCTCTGTGTTTGTGCTCCACCGGTATCCAATATCTCCCAGTGTATGTTAGTTTGACTAACACAAGGTCCTTAAGGTGCCTTAATGGTTGGCCAACACAATTTCCATTGTGCCGTGCAGTCGGTGATTAAGAGGATGTTGATTGCAGGGGCTTTAGGGGTGCCTGTACTGTAAGTGATATTTGGGTTATTCTGGGGCCTGTTGTTGCTCTGTGTCTGGTGTGATTGGATGCAGTAATGGTCCCAGCAGTGCAGCAGCCAGGCAGGCAGGCATATGGCCGAGGTACTGCCTTCCACTGCCTCCCCATTCTCTTACTTTATAGACCTCCAGGGGGTCGTGACCTCACCGTAACTCTTCCAAAGCCAGTGGGGAGAGGAGCTAGCTCATAGGCCTGGAATCCACCAATGTGCCTCACCTCCCATGTGACCCCCCCCCCCCAACTTGTACTGCCGTGATATGTGTGGTCCCCATCAGGAGAGGCGGGGTGGGGACGGACAGTGGTGGTGATAGTTAAACAGTCACGGCTGTTAGGAGGTACACTCGCCTCCTCCTCGGGTCAGAGAGTAGAAGGGAACGAGAGCTGGAAACGGAGCATCTTGTTGATGTAATAAAGCAATGTCAGGGGGTGACAGGAAGGAAAGCTATGAGCTGCAGCGTAGATGCGACGGTGGAGGTGAGAGGTAGTAAAGAGGGAGGCAGGAGAGAGAGAGAGAGAGAAGGAAGAACAAGCTGAGGGGAGAGGCAGGTTGGGGAGAGAAGAGAAGGGGAGATAAATTAGGAAAAGAGGAGTCCAGACACGGTGTCTATGGTGTACTGTTAAGTGAGAATAAATCATTACCACTCTTTTACCATTCCTACATGACTGCAGGCGCCGTAAAACACAGGTAAAGATACCCATAAATACACATTATTACACCCTTACATCTAGCCTCCCTCTCTTCAGATGATAATACTGTATCATCCGTAACGACACTATTTCACTGCAACTCAACCGCATAGAGCATCTTCCCTTCGCCATGCCTACCTCATCGCTTTTTAATGTGCATACATAATTTAATGCCTCTTGTCTTAAGTATTATTCTGCCCCTAACATCAAGCGACGGGAAAGTGAGAAAGTATGCTGGATGAGTACACCACGCCATTGATTAACTAGGAGGAGGTCTGGGAGGTGGATGGTGCTGGTGAGTGTGTGTGTGTGTGTGTGTGTGTGTGTGTGTGTGTGTGTGTGTGTGTGTGTGTGAGGTGGGGAAAGGAGGGTTTAGAGGCTGTGATATCTGCTCAGACAGAAACAACTCTGATATCTGATGACTTTCTTGGCAGACAGTCCGTATCGACTGGCAAGAGATCAGCTCCCCTAGTTTGACCCTGTGATGCTCTCACACATCAATAACGCTGTTCAAATTCCTCAGCATGACAAATAGACAGGGAAGTGTTATACCTGGAAACCGAAGAGAAAACTAGTCATTAGCAGAGGGAAGAAAAAGTGGTTTATAGGCAGCTGTGGTTGAATGACTAATTTGATTTATTTAGCTATGTCAGTTTCTCAACTTGGACTTATTTGATTTAGGTGTGAGACTTTTTGTGGAGACACTTCCAATCAAATGTTTTGCCATTTTAATTGAAAAGAATGCACTCCAGGGTTGTTCTTCTTTGCTCACATGATGACAGTAATAGTGAGAGTACAATTGCTGACGGTTCATATGGCAGATGTGCTTGAACATGTGGAATTCTGTCTGTGTGTGCAACAGTCCAGTTCTAATTTTCACAATCCAAGCAACACACGCCGCAAAACATCCGCATAGACGTTACAGCGAGCCAGTGAATGTTTTAAATCTTCCTCTGTCTGTGGTGTTGACAGAACTGGTGCACATACATTCTTCTTTATTTTTCATCCATTTAATCTCAACACCAAAATAAAGTCACTGGTAAATACCATCCTGTATGTTCTTATTTTCATTTCTGGGGAAAACAGTCTTGTGACTGTGGCAGTTACTGTAATGTGTTAATACCTAGTAAAGAACTAAGCAAACTTAGCTTAGTTAGGTTAACGCTGCATACACACAGTTAACAATACATACATGTGCATGAATAGGGATGTGTCAGAGCATGAATGTGACTATGCGTCTGCGTGTGTGGAGCAAGGTCAACAGGCAGTCGGTCTGTGTTCATTCAGTAGCATTTAAAGAGAGGCACGAGAAACCTGATGTATGACTGAAGATACAATTAAAACTTTTGCTGAGTTTCCCGACTGCATCGCATTTGCATTGCTATAAATTTGATTACAGCTTGATTTTTCTGAAAGCTGATTATTTCAGCACAAACATTTCTTCACAAGTACAGCAAGGGTTGCCTGTTTGCATCTGTGACTGCTTGTAATCATAACTTAGCCGGAGACAAATAAACTGTTTTGCAAGCAAGGAGCCACTACTCATTTGTTTTGACGTTGTGAAACATTTACAGCTCCAGATGAGTCACATTTATCTTTAAACGCAACGAAGGATCTTTTCACTCTCTCCCCTTGTACTTGACCCAGAAACCAAACCTGAGGAAAAAAAAAAAAAAGAGAGACAGATTTGTTTGATATATGATGACATGCAAAACTAATTTGTCAAGCTCGTGCTGCGGTCTTCAGTTGTCATTTGTGGCAGCAGGGTGTTGGAAAATCTCTCAAGAGTGTTGATATGTCTCAAATAGAGCAACTGAAATTCAAGCTTTAAAAGGGCTTAAGAGTAACTGAACATTGAGCTTTTAAAGGCTTAAATTAGCAAAAATTTGTAAGACGTCTCCACTATGTCAAACACAGAAACCTCAAAAGATGTTTTCTCAGTGTGATGGTTTGATATCACAGATGTCATTGTAGGTAACACAGAATTTTATTCCTTCTCTATCATTGGTCTATTTGAACAGAAAATGACATAATTGATAATATATAGTTTTGTATTTAATTTTTTTCTTTCAGAGGTTATTGGTTATCTTTTATTTGATACACAAGATTTTGGAGCTATTGGATTGGTAATGGAAAGAGAATATTTGCCTGTAATTAACATAAGAAGGAAAGTGGAAAGAGCTGTCTTGTCATTTTCATTTTGTGAATATTCTTGGTCAAGCGGACAGCTCTACAACGTTGTTTAAGTTTCTTTCTTTTTGAATGTTTCTCCATTGGAGTCCAACTTGACCAGTTTACTGGATCACTGATTTGTCTGCACATAGTGGGCTTCATGAATGTCTCTTTGAAGGCTGGCTGTTACTGTCCACACTGCATGTTTGAATAAAAACTTTCTACATTCACAACTCACCATTTACCAAACCCTGGATAAGAAACAAAACAAAACAATCTCTGTATATTTGGAGTATTTGTGGTGGTGAATATCTCCAGTTATAATATTTGTGATTTTTCTTGGAAAATATTGAAACCACATTGACAAATATACTTTATAGCATAACATTTCTTTCCCAGTGTGAGGGCTTACGTGCATCTCAAATACAATATATCACACTCAGCCTTTTCCTATACATTTACAATTTTAGGGCCTTGCTGCCATTAGTGAACATGTAGGGATTCACCGTCTGACTTAAACACTGGTGGACATGTTGGTCAATGAGGTTTTTTTTTAGTCTCCGATCTAAACGCAGCTCTGCCAGGAGGCAGCACCACTTGCAGGTCAACAGTTCAACCCTATCACCAAACTTCAGATGATAAGGACCCAGAGCCTCTGCACAGGAATTTACTGCAGGTTTTAAAGGCGGAGGAGAGGCTCTCTAAAAGGATATAGAAAGGGTCATAAATGGATTTGTTTATCAGACTTTAATGACTTGCCTTGGCACACATTACGTGGGAGGATGTAGTTCGCCTAGATATCAAACAGAGGGTGAATCAGCCAAACAAGGACAGACCGCGGCAATAAAAAGGGATGCCTAAATGTGTGAACACATATTTACACATTCCTTTTTCAAACAAAAGTTGAACTCTTGGGGTGCTGAAAAACAGCAAGGAGGTATCTATCAGATTCCAATCCAAATCACATGCATCATATCTCCCTCACATTTTTAACGTGGTGTCACACACCTCCTCCTATAACCCACAATTTGCCAGAACTGCCAATCAAAACTGTTGGCATGGAGATAGCTGCTCCCTTGACTACCACAGACATCATCTCATGTACGACAAATTAGGCGGGGAAATGGGTCCCTTTGCTCCCACACTTCCAGTTGAGTATATTTTAAAAGCTGGGGGGAACAGCTAGTCTTTTGGGCTAATACAAGCATATCATGGCTGTACTGCTCCTACAGGGGCCCCTTGCTCTGTTATTACCAAGCCTAATCAAGGACCAGAGAGAGGGAGAGAAAGAGACTAAGAAAATGAAAAAGATAGAAAAGAGAGAGAGGGAGAAAATGAAATCCCTCATGTGAAGCCAGGGACCACACATCCGTGAAAT